TAGCACCAGACCGAGGTAGTTTGTGCTTAACTGAGCTTCCGGTTGCCGTAGTATTTCTGTTGCGGAGTTGGCGGTTGAAACTTGTGAGGAGAATTTTTTTAACTGGTTTGTACTGGTGACCCAATTGTGAGTAGTGTATTTTGTGTCGGGTGATTCGCTCTCGTCGTTTTCGAAGGCAGGGCTTGTGTAGTCTTGGGTTGGTGGGGGTTGCTTATGTACTTTTATTGTTATTTTATGGGTCTCTTGATTTTGATGTGTCTTATTTTAAGCTTGATTTGGGGTCTGTTTTTGGCCAGGGGTTGCAAAGTGTACATGGGAAGAAGTCTGTTTAGTAAAATAAGGTCTTTATTATTCGTTTCTTTTTGCAGTCTGTTGTTTAGGTATTTCTGCATCTTTTTTCTTTAACTTGATTTTTGTTGCTCTTGTTTGTGGGTGAGGCGACTTACTAATGTTTCTTTTAAGTTTCCGAGCTTCTTTTCAAACACTGGGTTTCCCTCATATGTAATTTACGATTACAGGTCGTGCTTTGTCCATTTCTATAAGATTTGGACGGCTGAGCGAGCGAGAAGAATACTGCATTTTTTTCCGAACGGCAGAAGCTAATGGTTATAAAAACACAAAAAAGAAAATTGCCATTCTTTAGAAAATTGAAAAAATTTACAAGTTGCAATTTTTCAGTATTCTAATATGGAATCGAACTTTACCAATACAGATTTTAATCATCGGTTCGTTCCTCACTGAAATATCACTTTTGGCAAGGTTTCACTGTTTCAGAACCTTCTAAATTGCTCTACGAAATCCTAAAAATATCTACTAAATCGTGATTACATGCCTCCAATTCCTCTGAATTTCCAGCCGGGAAGGCACATTTTTTTATCCTGGATTTCCTCACAGCACTTGCCCTTAACCCATATTTTGCATATTGTTATGTATTGGTAAACTCGTAATATTGATAGTTGCTCAACAGAAAATGGTACCAATTTTTTGCAACGAGTATGAAAACGGCTTGAGGCGCAGTCACCGTTCTCACGATGCAACTTCAAAGCGAAATGAATTTATCTAGGTTTTATCCGGTTTCACCGACAACCGGTACCTGTGATTCTGCAGATCACCCATTTCCGTTTCAAACTTTTGAACCTCTTCGCTTATTGTTGATTTTAGTTTTCCTATTTTCTATTTTTTTGCAGTGCTGTTCACTGAAATTTCACTTTCAGATTCCTTGGCTGATGCAGCCTTTACTGGGTCATTCTGGTTACAAAAAAGATTACTTTTTTCTACGTAAATTAAATTTATATCTGAGAAAATAAAAATTTCTTTATTCTTATATTTATTCAATTACCCCTTGTTTGTGATGTTTGTTTATCTATTGGAATAGTAGTAACCGCTTGAAAGAAGAGTATAACCGTATTTAGATGGACTGTTGTGCATGTACTGTTCGTGCGGAATTTTAACAGTGTGTTAGAGTATTTAGGTCAGCAAGAAATACAGCTACGCAAATTTTTTTGTAGATTTCCTCTCGTAGAAACATTAAATTTGCAGATGAAGAAAGGGAAAAAAGTAGACACGGAAATGAAGAAATTTGAAGAAGGAAATACGGCTTTCAGTATCTTATATCGTTGGTCGTTTTGGACGGTCACCAGTGGTATTTTGATGCTAAAATGTCTTCTTATTCCGTCATATCATAGCACCGATTTTGAGGTACATATATGTTTACGGCTTTTAAAGTGTAGCTCCTTTAGTTTTTAATACTTGAAAACTGGTGTTACCAGTATTTCAATTACTTAGTTGCTCCTGTTCTGCTACTTTTGATTTTTTTATTGTAGGTTCATAGAAACTGGATGGCTATTACGGCGAACTTGCCTATTGAGCAGTGGTATTACGACGAAACTTCGAAATGGACACTTGACTATCCGCCATTTTTTGCCTACTTTGAGTGTATATGGAGTTTGGTTGGTCTTGTGCTTGACTTTTCGTAGATGAAGTAAATGTATTTGTTTCAAAGATATAGAACGGGAAATTTTTCTGTTTAGGTTGCCAACCAGTTAATACCAAGCTCTCTCAGACTTCAAAAAGAGCCTATATTTTCGTTAGAATTACTCTACTTTCATCGCTTCACAGTGATTCTGACTGATATGATTTATGTGAGTTTCTAAAGTAAGTTTTTTTAGCGTTGAAACTTTGTAAGCGCTCGTTCTTTTCCAGGAAACTTGTTTAGATTTTTGGTTCCGCTTTCTGTGCGAATTGCCTTGCTCGTTTTTCGCGTCCCCTTAGTCACCTTAGTGCAGAAGCACTCGGAATAACACTTGTAGCGAATATTCCACTCATCCTTGTCGACAATATACATTTCCAGTATAACAGCTTCCTTACTTCATTCCTGCTCTTCTCAATCGGATTTGCATCAAAAAAGAATTATCTTCTGGTTAGTATGTTCGTCAGCCTTTTTGTTGATAGTTTTGGATAATTTTTATAATAATCAAATCTTGGTCTAAGCTTACTTTTGAGATTGCTTTTTGCGACTAACGTCGAATAATAAACCTTATGAAATAAGCTTTTTTACACATGTTGTTGGGCTTTTTTAGTACGCTCTTTGGTGACTGTAATGCTTTTTCAGGCGGCTCTTTTTTTTAGCATATTGCTGAACTTCAAGCATATTTATCTTTACTACGCACCTGCTTACATTGTATTTTACCTTGCAGAATATTTCTGCGTCAAGAATACTGTGGAATTTCTTTCCCGGATACTCAAACTTGGTTTAACAGTAATATTACCATTTGGTTTATCCTTCGGTAAAGTCTCATTTTCATCATATAGACACCTGTTTATTGTTTGTTTTCTTTCTGTCGAAAAATTTGGCATAAGAATTCATTTTAACTGTCATTTATTTATTCACACGTGAATAGTGTTCCTTGTCATTCGGAAGTTTTTCAATTATTATTCTTTCCTCCAAATCAATTTATTAAGGAGTATTCGCATATCGCTCTGGCGTCATGGCCATCTGGCAAATTATAAGCCGTTTGTTTCCGTTCCAGAGGGGGTTGACTCATGCTTATTGGGCACCAAATTTGTGGGCTTGCTATAATTTTGTCGATTTTAGTTGTTATAATGTTCTCAAGTTTCTCGGAAAATTACCGATTGAGTCTAAGCCGCCAGCGTACACTTCCGGGCTTGTACAGGTCAGATTCGTCTGTTGCATGTTTTTACACTTCTGTGGTTCTTTATTCCTCCACTAGCTTGCTGTTTGAAACTTGTCAGGGTAGTCTTGGATATTCAAAAAATTTTTCGGTGAAATGTAAGAGTTTATTCATTTTAGGAATACTTTCATTCAATTTTGCCTAATATCCCCGCGGTAGTGACGTTGTTGCTCACATTGTTACTGCTTACACCGATGGTTACATTTCTATTTAATGAGATCTCACCATTGAATAGGATTGCAGTTTTATTGACCCACTCTGCTTTTGCTTTCTTTCTTGCTGGTTATCACGTTCATGAGAAAGCTATAATTATGATTTTAATTCCATACACAGTTCTTGCGTTTAGTGTTAGTATTTCTTCCTACCACTATATTGAGATTTCTTAGAATTTTAGTATGAAAATGTAAAAAATATTTCTTTGTGTGGCAAAGCACCTTTATGTTTGTTTTTAGGATCATAAATATATTCGGTCTTTGATGAACTTGTACGTAGCAGCAAACATCTCTCTATTTCCCTTATTTTTCACTTTCTTTGAAAATTGTATTAAGGTTGGCTGATATATTTCCAATTCATTTTTTTGTGATTTAATATTTTTACTAATTCCTTTTCAATTGAAATAATTTCAGGTAACATTGGCTGTATTTTCATATTTTTTTATGAGCACAATATTAGGACTTATCGAGAACTCGAAGCAAAACAGGAGTTTTTTGTCAGCAGCTTATCATCTGGCACTCATAGCTGTACAGTCGTATTCGTTGCTCATTCATCCAGTCAGTGTAGTTACTTAATTTTGAAACCTTAAAAAAACTCTGGTTTTCTTGTTACAAACTTTTTGGTATTTTACACGATAGTTAACGAACATCTTAATATTTTCTAGAACGCTTTTGACTTAAAACTTTTCTATTTAAAAAACTATAAAGATTCCAAACAACTGACTATCTGTCATCGCAAATGCATGCTCGGAGATATTTTTGCAGGTATTTTTTGGTCAACGCTTTGCCTTTCTGCCTTTAATGCTGACTTCAACGTCTACTGCTTGCGTTCTTATTTCATCTTTCATTGAGTTTGTCTGGTTAACATACGCGTAGATTCGCATGGAAACAATATATTTATTTATTTGACTTTTCGTGCTTCTTCGGCTGTTGATATTGAAACCATTTGTGGTGTTACCATGGTTTAAATCTCTTCTGTTTTGATTCCTATCATCTCATTGCTCTTGTTAGATGTTTACTTATGAAATTCCCCTACAAGCGAGAGATTCATCTTCTTCGGGCTTTCAATTATGAGAAAATTTTAGCGATCTGTCAGAGTGCAAGCTAGTTGTGCAGAGCATTGTGATTGATAATTGCTTTTTTTAGCGCCAGATGCTTGATCAGCTCATTTGTGGAAAGCCAACTTTTTGTGGGCTTTAAAACTTCAATTGCTTGCATGGCATTTCAGCTAAGTGAGGAATATAGTTGCTGTTTCGAGAGAGAGAAGTCTATTTATTGTTTCTTTGGAAGATTTTCTTGTTATGATGATATTGACAAAATAAATGCGAAGTTGTGAGTAAATAGGGAAGAGGCAGGAGATTGGGCGAAAAGTATGCTCATTTTATCCATATCACTGAGAAGAAATTTTCTACTTTGACGGGTAATTCTATGCATTTTACAGTGGTGAAACCATTTCAAACCGTTGAAAGTTGAAGGAGGTGGCTATAAAAACTTGGTATGTTTTGTTGAGGATTTTTTACTACGGTTGTTGTATTTTACTTTAGAAGATTAACGAATTATTATTCTGGAGAGCTGTGAGAAGTGACCTTCATTTCAGCGTTTTCTGCTTCTTACATATCGTGGTTCATGCACATTCAGCTCACAGAAAACAGAGGTACCAATAATGCTTGACTTGGGCAAATCTTTTTTGAACTGTGTAACTATGGAACTTTTGTTTTGACGTTTTAAAGATCAGCGAAGAAAGAGGTTTCTGGGCTCTTAGACTTGACTTCATAGCGCACTCGTTCAAGTGTTGGTTACACAGGCGACTGTGAGCTTGACCTACTGTGTTTTCTTTTAAAATTATGAACTGTGGTTTTTCAAACTGGCTAAGCACTAAAACTTCAGGAAGAACCTTAATCCAGTAGCTAATCGGTTAAAGCAGTAAGTTCCTAGACCCCTTAATGACGTTATAATGCGTACCAGCTGGACTGTGTTGACTGAAGAAAAGCTTACATTCCCGTAACCCTACTGAATTATAATTTGTTAATATAATTAAGTAAAGTACAAGATTTGTAACAAACCTTCGACTATCATAACACTTTTCAAAGGCGCCTCAAAACAGTTTTGCTACTGTGAAAAGCATGGGGTTACTGTGAGGTAAAGGAATTTTTTTGAAGTTCTATAATTTTTTTTTTTTGATTCACGAGGCCGAAAAAATCATCAGATTTTGATATTTTGTAGAATAGAAGGTTTTGCACAAAACATTTTTCCCAAAAAATTAAGAAACGTTTTTTTTTTTTGTACTTGTTTGAAATCTTGATTTTACTGTATTTATAAAATTTTTTAACAGAATTAGATCATTTACCATGTCTCTTTGAAAGTACAGGATATGGAAGATCTAATGAGCCAAAAAAACGAAATTTCATTGGGAATAATTCAAAACACAAGTCTGCAAAAGAATCAAGCGGCAGCCGAGCAAATCTTACAACTTTGACGAAGGGTAGTTTGGCGGGGAGTTTACTTTTCCAGATTTTCTCTTTGGCTTTCTATATACTGGGATGGATCCTATCAACCAACAAATCTTCAAAAAATTCTGAGATATCAAGTTAGAAAAGTGTACCGCATAGCGTGTTATGGTCCATCGTTATTGTTATTCTTTCGATCTGTATCGCGTTGATTCCTCATTAAGCTCTTTTGACCCATATATTTGGAACTTCTTACTGGCTTTTGTTGGCAGATATTGTTTTGCCACATTTTTTTCAACACGGCATTAATTTGCGAGTTTAGTGAAGTACTGGCAGCAGTGGTTCAGGAGGGCTGTCAACGGTGTCATCAAGGGAGGATGTAAGCCACGACTCATCTGACTGCACTTTATTTTACCCAAAAAAATTCCGTGACTCGCACTGCTTCGAGACCTTTTTTTAGCTCCAAAGTGAAACATTAGCGGTAGATATACATATACTTTAAGCGTACTTTTTAACATTTCTGAAGGATTGCAAATCGAGAGCCCGCTTCACTTTCTAGACAGAGTTTTGTGCAGTACAAAATTTGCAGGGATTTCTACAATTTCATCTTCTACTTTACAGACTTTGCAGTCGCTTTAGGATGGCACTTCTTCACAAAATCGAGTGGATCAAGTTCTTGTGATGCCATAAGAAGCACATTGAAAAAACTAATTGTTTACTAATTTCGGTTACATTTGCTAAGTTCTGAAATTGAATGAGGTTGCTCATTTCTTCAGTATACAAATGCTGTACGAAAGAAGTAGGGCAATTTATTTAGTCAACTACTTGAACATTTATTAAATAGAAACTTGAATAAAACATCGTTAACCTCCTCATCCAGTTTCTTCTAGAAATGCTTTAGATTTAGTGCTGTAATGACATTGTTTGCGAAGTTATTTCAAATCTTACCAACAAGATTTCTAAAGAACCTGCGCCGAACATCATCAGTATTCGGTTTTTCGGTTTCAATTGTAAGGTAGTTTGTTCTGAAATCATAAGCCTTATTAAAGAAGTAAAAAGAAGTCACGTGACTCACAGTTAGTAAAATATACACTTTTGTGCATAAACAGCACAGTTTTCAATAAAAGAAGTTCAGCGGTATCAAGGTTTGGTTTTCAAGGTTTTTCTTTATATGGAATAGAAGTTCTCTGGAACTAAGGAATTCTTTTGTAAAACGTCTCCAAACTGAATTTTCAAGCTTGCTTAACTTTTGGACAAGAAGCTGTAGTGCGCCACAGATCCATATTCAATAAGAGGTAAAATATAAATTTTTCAAAGAAAGATAAGAAAAGAAGTCTTCTTGCGATTGAAATTCTTAAAAATGTAGTTTACAGTACATGACGTCTTTCAAGTTATAGCTGCGCAATGTTGAGCAAAAAAGATATTATTATCAGTGAGAATTCGAAGGTCTTGAATGACTTGCATTTTGCTTGGGTAAGATCTATCGACATCATATCTTGAACTACTAAATACCTGATCTAATTCAAGTACTTAACACTTAGAAAAAGTCAATGATGACAGCGTTTGCTGAGCTCACTTGCAAATTTTTAATAGGTCGGCATTTAACTTGTCAGTACTTGGACTATTTCTTGAAAAAGAAAATTATAGTCTGCAGTCATTTGCAAATAAATATAGTTCACTACCTTCAGCAATCGACTGTAGCTCAGATGCGAAGGTAGTAAATAGCAGCCCTCTAAATAACACCGTCTTAAAGAACCCCTGAAGTAACTGGACGTGAGAAAGATTCACAGTTTTTATAATAATTGCCTGATTCCTCTTGGTTAAACAGTTTTTGACCTATTACAAAGTCTTATTATTAATACCCTTTGCTAAAAGGTAACTTGGTAGTTTCGGCTTTGAGACAGTGTCAAAAGCCTCAGAGAAATCCTAATAAACCACCGCAACTGCTTACTGCTTCTCTTGTACCTGGTTTTTTGGTCCAGTGATTTAAGCAAGGTGAAAAGATGCGCCACTGTACCCATCCTTTCTAAAAATCCATACTTTTCAGAGCTAAAACTACCACTCTTCTCTCAGCACTTAATTAAATGAGCTGCCACTATTTTTTCAGAAATTTTGTCAGGCAAAGAAGTAAGCCCTGTAACCTTTAATTTACAGCCTTTTTTCAGAACAGAAAAAACTAAAGCCGTTTTTTAAATGTAAGGTGGTTCTTTGGTTTCTTGAAGTTTCCCATGTCACCCTTTATCAAGCAGTGTAGAAGACTAAGCAGAAGCAACATAGGCAAAATTAAAATTCAAATAAAAGTTGATTGCATAAATCCAATTCTTCAAAACTTCATTCCAGTCAGTGAAAAAGGCTTGGCCATTTGTGGAGTTGAATCGTCCGTAGCAAATGACTACCAAAAAAAGATGGAAATTTTTAACTTTCTCATATGTACATTACAACGCCAGGAAGTCTGCAATCGTCTAATATAAAAATGCAACTGTAATGACATTGTAAAAGATGACATGCCAAGGTCACATTTTATTCTGACATATGAAGGTCACATTTCATTCTGACATTTCCTCTCCGAATTCTGTAAAAGCTTTCTAGAAGCGGAACTTTTAAGACTTTCAAAAATTATGTTATCATTATGAATTGAATCTTCTTCGCCATTATCAACAGCGTGATCATCAACCAAATGCTGCCGCACATCAAATTCATCGAGATCACTAAAGAATTATTTATAAAGCCAGAGTAAACTGTAACGAAGACAGAGAAAGGAAGAAGTGGTCTGAGCTCCTGCTAAACAATAGGTTTTTTTAATGTTTCAAGGTGAAAAAAAACGCAAAAATCATAACCAAGAAAACGCTTAAAAAATTGAGAACCGCAAAAACCGTAGTTATTTGCAAAAAACTAAAGCAAATGTTACGTTAAGTATCAGATTATGAACGTTGAAAGTCAAATGTTTTTGGAGAAATGCAATACTGGTGAGAGAAGTGAGAGATGAAAGAACTAGCAATCAGGTTCAAAACGTTTTAAAGATTTAGGTAAAAATCAAGCAGTAAATGAGCTAAATAAATCGCAAAAAAACAACAAATTTTGTAGTTGAAAACTGAAACATTAACACACACTAAAAAATTTTATCGGTATGCCTATACAAACCATGCGGAAGAATTTAACCTTCTACCAGAAAAAGCATGATTGGAAAACTTACATAGGAGAACTTTGATCACCGTTGCACTCATTCAGAAACAAAAACTTGGGAGTTGACAAGTGCATCGTGTACAAAACCCTAAAATTTATTCAAATGCATTTAATTTAAGAATGTTTGGCTAAATGATGTGAAATCTAGAAAAAACGTACAGTTTTGAGAAGGGTTTGATTAACAACGTAGCGACAGGGATTATGAAACAAGCAAGCCAAAAGCATGGAGACTCGGACATAATACCACTTATTCCACAAACATCAGCTCCAAATGGTGTATGCTGCCAAACCTAATACTCAGGAGAAAAGCACAGTTACTTGAAAACTGCGAAATGAGCTTCATTAAATGCCATAATCCTAATAAACTTTATACTGATTTTATATTGTACAACAATGAAACATACCAAGGAGTACAAGGTGAGGTACAGCGCCCACAGCAACACGGTGAGGACAGTTGAACAAATGGAAAGCAAAGCCCACGAATTGCACTCGAATAAGGCTTTTAAAGAAACTGTTACGGCGCAAAACTAGAACACGGTTGAAGAAGTCTGGCATATGGAAAGTTCTAAACAAGAACCTTGAACTTACCGTGTTGCAGGAATTCCTAAACATTGACCATCCGCTTGAGCGTCCGTTACTCCACAGTACAGAATGAGACATAAACAAAAAAGAAAAACAGTTTGATGTAGCTGAATGAAAGAACGCAAGAATAATATCTTTCACAAATGCCTATAAAGTATTAGTCATTTTTGCGTACAGCCATCTCATATTTGCATCAATGTTAATATGGAGAAGAGTGAGAGTGTAGTTTCTTCCTCTGACTGCCAATAAATAAATAAATATCAGTAAACAACAAACATCAGAAAACTTTGATTTTCACAAGAAGAAGAAAATTAGCAGAGAAAAGTGAATAAGTTTAATTTACTGTTAGTGGTTACAGCGCCAAATGTAGACTGCATATTTTTTAGATAGTTGTCTAAAGTTTCTCAGTGGTAAAGTAATGAAACAATGTTTATTTCAAACACACACTTTAATCCGATTTGAGATACACAAATGTTGTCGCTGTAAGCAAAGAGATACTTCGCTGTGTGCTTAATGAAATATTTTTTGGTAATTTTAATAAAATTTAGACTGACTTACATTGCCTGTGAAGGCTCCTTCTCTTAAGGTTCTGTACTTCATGGGCTGCTTAAGCAGTCTTTCGTCAGAACATGGCTTGAAAAATATTCCTAACATTAAGGCTTCGATGACTGTGATAAGCAAATTGAATAAAGTCAGAGACAGAGAGTCAAAAAATTCTAGACCGGAAAATGCAGAAAAAAGCGCAATCCACAGTCCAGCCAAAAAGAAGCAAACATTTTTGTAGAAAAAAACCAGTATTGCCTAAAAGAAACACGCAATTACATGTGCAATCAATTTTATAGACGTGAAAGTAAAAGTCGTTCGAAAACAATAAATAAATAAAAAAAACCTTTGTATTACGTTGAAAACTCCAAGCTCCATGAATAAATAGTAATCTCTCGAGAAATCGAAATTGCCCTATACTGTAGTCACTCATAGATGCGGCTTCCAGCCCTTCTTGGCCACAAATTCCGATCCCAACATCTGCTCTCTGAAAAAGAACCATCTTTTAATTAAAAACGGAAGAATGAGCTTTATGTAGTTTCCAGCTTTTTTCTTTTATTTATAACTTCTAGTTGCCAACTTGAATCATTGGAACGTCGTTTGCTCCGTCTCCAATGGCTAATACAACATTTTTTCCGTTATCTTGGGCCATTTCAACAACACCTGCTTTCTGTATAGCAGATGTACCGTAACAGATAACAGAACGGCATGACAATAATAATTTCATTAATTTTTCACGGCAGGAATTTTTAAAACCAAGCTGCAGATCCTGAAATTGATAGCAAAAGGTCAATGGCAACCCAGCATAAGAATTAGTTAGTACTCCATTTCGCAGTAATTTATACAAAAAAGAAGAGAACAGTTATGTTCTTAAACAGCAGTACGGCTAAAAGCTCAATATAGAGCAGTTATTTGACAGACGATCACCACGTGCTTCTGCAGTCTTCTGACCAACTGTTTTA